AAGCTAAACATGTGATTAAAGGGCCAAAGCCCTTATTCCATGAAAGGCAGCTTAAAGCTACCCCAAAACTGGCTTGAAAGGTTGATTTTGGGTTTTTTTTTTAGTGCAATTATTGCTCTTTGCTACTGGGTATTGAGCAACAGTAGAGAACAGGGGAGACATTCTGGTGATTGTGCATGGGAGGAAGTGAGATCTGGGAAAGGAGAAGTGAGAGCAGAGTGCCCATGTGATAGTCCCTTGATTTAAGATGGGATTTAAGGTTTCATGTCATGAAATCTTTGGTTTATAACAAAAAATGCTCATAAGAGGGATCTTGTTTGCTTTCTTCATAATCAGCTGTTGTTTGCTTATCAAGTGAATAGAACAAAAAAAAAAAATAGTGCTGTCTAGAGATTTGCTAAGTCTTTGAAATATATGAGATTGCTCATGTCAGCGTGCTGCCTTGCAAGCTGCCACAGCAAAATAAAGGCAAAAGATCTGGCCTGCTTTGTTGAGAAAGCTGCTCTTAAATCCAAGATGAAAAAGAAGGGAGATGACACAGCTCCAAACCACCGGCTTTCACAGTACTAAAAAGCCTCACAGCTTTCAAAAAGATTAATCCCACAAAGAAAAGTACTACATCTATGTTGCTCCTTGACAAAAGTCATGTCAGTAGTGTTACGGCATTATTCCCAGGAAAGGTGAATGTAGATGACCTGGCAGATTTCATGACAATTTTGTGAAACAAACAGATGAGATAAACCCAAACAAATCATCTTCCTTTCACAGAAAAACAAAACTGCAGAATAGAGGCTTATTCATAGACTGTACTTGCTATAATTGAGCTGTCTAACCAGCAGTTATCTTCTCCCAGGCAGAAGAAGCAGAAGTTGTCATGCTACTTGCTATATATAAACCCCCTCTACAGAGTGTTTATAAACAAATGAGTTCAACAGACATTTTAGAGGCATGGCCCATAAACTAAGGGAATGATATCTGTGTATATATCAAAAGGCAGGAAAGATGGTAGTGAACAGGGGAAGTTTGGGTTGGAAATAAGGAAGCAGTTCCTTACTGTGAGGGTGGTGAGGCACTGGAATGGGTTGCCCAAAAAAGTAGTAAATGCTCCATCCCTGGTAGTGTTCAAGGCCAGGTTGGACGGGCTGTTGGGTGGCATGGTTTAGTGTGAGGTGTCCCTGCCCATGGCAGGGGGGGTGGAACCAGATGACCTTAAGGTCCTTTCCTACCCAAACCATTCTATGATTTTTATGTCAAATGGAAGGTGATGGTCAGTTTTATGTTTTCAAATAATCTTGGGTGCATTTGACTTGCCTGAAGCATGTGTGAAAACTAGCTCCTATATTGGACTGACTGGAATTATTTTGGGTATCTGAGCATAAGCAAAAACTGCAAACCTGCCACTGCATACAGGATGCCGATTTCAATAAGGAGCTAGCTGTGTCTAGGGTGGAGAGCTTCTGACTTGTTATAGGAGTAGCAGAAGTTAAGTTTGGCTATGGTGCGTTAGTTGGTATCTTACAGGCTCTCTCAGACTGCGCTAAAGTGCTGTTATTCTTCAGAAACACTCAAAAGTCCTTTTCAGTGGTGATATCCAAAACCTGATGCAAATTGACTATGGCAGATATCATTCAGGCAAGTGAGCAGTGTTACCCAGGAGACAGCATATTGTTCCTGGAGGGCTACATTATTGTGGTAGACTAGAACCTATTCCAGAAATGCATTAAGTTAAAATCGGCCTGGTTGCAGGTGCAGTTTCACTGCCTTAAGTGGCTTTGAATCAACAGACAGCAAATATCAGCCTTCCAGGGTTTGCATACAGAGCCCCCAGAGAGAAACGTATGAACTAATTGCAAGCAGCGTTTTATTGAGTCAGCTCAGAAAGAAATGTGCACTTGCAGCAGAGCACATTCTCACTGGGGGCACTTGAACCTGCCTCCTCCAAGAGCTTGCGAGGTTTGAGGCTGATGGAGGAGTTCAGGAAGCACAGTCTGGGCAGGTCCAAATCCCCTCACCTGGAATGAAAATGTTACTGTGAATGACAGCAGTTCAGGCAGTCTAAGAAAAGGGTTATAAACGGGAAGGGGTGAGAGGAGGGCTTCAGTACAAGTTTTTAGGTCTCACAGGGAGGAACGAAGAGATCAGGATGGTTTTCCCACCCCGTACCCTCTTCTGAAGTGGGGTAGCTGGTCAACATGTGGTCAGTGAATTTTAGATTAGACAAAGAGTGTCTGGGGTAGGACTGGGTTTCTCTTCTCTTGAATGTGGAAGCCCTGGTTGCCTGGATGGAGGCTGTGGTGACAAAAACTGGCCTGTGGGTCTGGCAGCTCTGCAGCGATGCCCCTCGGCAGAGCCAACTGCCCTTTCTCACATGATGTGACTCAAAGTCATGGGGCTGGTGCCTTGCTTATGATCTTCAAGCACCCAAATCAGTAAATAGTCATTTTGAACTCTTATTTCCATGGCTGGACATAGAACTATAATTTCATTAAACTAAACACATTCTCACATGTTTAAACCCTGGGTGGAGTTCATGGGAAACATGAATGCTAGTCAGGCTGAGTAACAGTGGCAGAACTGTTCTGCAAAAATGCCATCGAAAAACAGTGTGTCCCTTCTTCCCAACAGAAATTCATCAACATTGTCTGGATTTAGCCTAATGTATCTGTAGGCTATTGACTTTTCAGTTTCCTTTAACTGTCAACTTTGTTAAAGAAAAATACATGATAAATTCTTCAAATTTGGATTTGAGACATCTCTACACCTTTTCTCATTAAATGCAAAATGAAAAAGCTGTATGGCAATCATTATTATGGATGCTCAGATGAGGTGTACTTATACCACCTGTTGAGGTGTGAGTTGGTCACCAGTATCATAGAATGAACTAGGTTGGAAAAGACCTTTAAGATCATCAAGTCCAACCGTTACCTCAGGACTGCCAAGTCCACCACTAAGCCATGTCACTGAGGGCCTCGTCTACACGTTTTTTGAACACTTCCAGGGATGGTGTGTAAGCGCATTTTGATGCTTCTAGTGAAAATAGTGAAAAACCTTGTTGGACATACCGAATCCAGAACAAGAGAGCTATGGAACTTCCTCCTGTAGAGGGTTTAAAGAAAAAGAGAAATGCAATATTATCCTTACATTGTATCTATTGTATGTTCTTTGGGCAAACTGGGACAAATTTGGAAGGTGCATTTGGCTGGAAGAGTTGTACACTGAGTTGTCACAAGTGGCCACTGGCGCCCATAGAACAATGCTGTAATAGCTGCAAGTGCCAGGGCTGTGTCTCAGCAGAACAGCCAAAGGTCTTTTGCTGGAATAAGAAAGGAGGCAAAATGCTGTGGAGGTGTCTTTTCCCTGCAGCACCATTGTAGTCCTATACCACTGTGCAGAGAGTTGCTTGGATATGATCCTGGTCCACCAGAAATGCTGATAAGAACACTCTGGAAGGGATGGTTCAAGGAACTTCTGTTTCTGGCCTCGCAGGAAGGATGCACAAGGTCAGCACAAACAGCTGATTTCAAGTCCCTGCTCTGCTTCATTGCTCTAATGAACATAGCAAGTAAAATAAAGCAGCTGGAAAGATGCTGCTGATGCATGCATGGTTGTTAACCCCTGAAATGCTTCTTGACCTGTAGCCTGAGGGAGCAATTGCTCAGTGAGTGTGTGGGGATGCTCCTCTTAGGAGCAAAGCCTGAAAACACATAGAACATAACTGGGTTTGTAGCCCATTTTGAAGACTTGGGGAACAATACCATGTCCCTAAAAGCACCAGGAAGGGGGCTTTGGTCCCCATCTCCCAGCTGACCTAGGTGTGATGAGAGGGTAGGAGGGAAGACTTAGGAACAAAGTGAGAATGTGTTCTAAATGTTTTACTTGGAAAAAAAATTAATTCTTTCCTGAACAGAAAGAAAGAGGACTTGAAGGTGTTTATTTCAGATGCTTTAGCATCCTTCTGCTTGCCCCATCAGAGATCTAACTAGCCTGCCTTGTGTGAAGGCCAGACAGACATAAAAGCAGCTCAAAATGCAGAGGCAAGAGGTGGTACTTGGGAAAGGACTTAGTGTAGTAAGTGATGAAGGTGAGCGAAAGGGGAGATTTCTTACAGAAATGGGCCGTCATGAATGGGGACAAGATTCCGTTGGCCACATCTGTCCTTAATATCCCCAATACACCGTAGGTCTCAAGGTGGCTTAAAGGAACCTGAATGCTCAACAACAGCACCCTGGAGACCCTGCCAGTGCACCTCGGGTGAGCTCCTATGTCAAGCTGAGGGCAAGGGCATGGAGCTGCCCTCACACTTGTGTGCAGTGAGGGCCAGACTGGCTGCAGCCTCCTGCACATTGAGGATCCCCCATAGGGCACAGTAGCATAGTGGTGCAGGTGGCCACACTTAGGTGGGGGGACTGTGCACCCAGGAGTGCCTGTGCCAGGTTTTAGGAGCGTGGGACTGACTGGGGGACTGTGGCCAGGGTGTAGGACCCATGGGAGGGCAACGAAGGCCACAGCTGCAGACACTGATGTGTGTGCTGATACGTATTTAACGTCACTTTGGTTCAACTAAGATGTGTTTCAGTAAGCAGAAACAGGTTCTGGAAAATGACTTGCCAAGAGAAAATTTGTTCTAAATTGTGTCCTGTCCATGACACACTAGACAGCTATCTGCAGTGTACTGGGTTTTATTTCATTGCTTCCTGCTTAGAACAGTCCCACTCTTTCCAGTCCTTTGGGATGTCCTTGTTCCCAGTCCATCCCTAGACAACTGATGCATTCTGCTTTGGTTTGGTTTTGTTTTGGAGGTGGGAGGGGAGGTGTTATTGTTTGTTTATTTTTCCTGATTACTCCAGATTGCCAGAAGCAATGGGTGTTTCCTACTGATTTCACGTTTACATGAGGTTAGAAATTGAGCTCATCCAGGGTGGTTTGGCCCAGGCATCAGTTCCTTTGTATGCCTTTTATAATTTTCCCTTTTCCCATATAATTTCTATTCCTCCCCCTCTGCTCCTCCTCTTCCTGCCCCTCTTTGCCTCCCCTCCCTCTGCCTCCCTGGCGGCATTGCCAGCTCTGCACAGGCCCAGTTTTTCTAATTAGATGAAGCCACAGGATTATCTCTCTCCCTCCCTGCTAGGCTCCATTTTATTTCCTTTCCAGCCAAGGCAGGAGGCAGGAAGGGGCGTCACGTCTAAGCAGAGAAAGACCCATCTCCCAGTTTCCTGCCTTCGATGCTTTCTAACAATCCCTCCTCCTTCCCCTTATCATATGCTCACCTTGGTGTCAGCAGCATCAGGCGGATCAGGAAGCCCAGTCTCCAGAGGAAATCTGAACTCTTTTGGCTTTCATTCTCCTCAGATTTCTGAGCATCTATTTTAAATACCCTCCAAGTAACTTGGACAGGGAAGCTGGATGTGCAACCTCTGAGTAGGGGCAAGGTAAGGACCACGGAAGGCATGTATTGCCCGTTCTCTTGTCTCCTGTAAGGACACGGAATCCTCTCCATTTTGCCAGCAGGTCTTTGAGAGTAACAAAGCAGATGAGGGAAAGGGAGAGGAGCTGCACAGAGACAGACCCAGGCTTCTGTAAGTGCTGTGCTGGCAGCAGGGGGTTGATAGCTGGGCTGAAAAGCCCAGGAAATAGTAGTTTTCTCTTTTAGTAAATGATAGGAACTATGGCTGTGAGCTTTAATTGAATTTAATGTAGTTCTGCAGAAGGTGGTGGCTTTATGCTGGTGACTTCCACTTAAATGTATATTTGTCTTTTAGCAAGTGTTTCTAGAATATATTTGTCATTGTTTCTCCGGAGGAGAAAAACCCCCATAATCCCATTTGTCTTTATTTATCTGCACACCTGCAAGCTTATGAAGATGCTTTTCAATTATCTTTTGTATGTATGTTGGATTTTTTATATTGAAAGAAAAAGAGAGTAAATTGTATTGCTTCAAATTGTTACCTTTTAGTACTTATCTGCCACAGAATGGATTTCCTTGTTTTTAATACCATGTGTATCATGTTTTTTAAATTCCTAAAAAGTTAATATCCAACACTAGAGAAAAATTAGGAATATTTCAGTACCCTCTGCATATCAGCTTAGTTTTACACTCTTCTTTCCTAGATAAATGATCAACCACTATTTAGAATGACTGATAAAATTTTCTCTTGAACAAAAACATGTCTTTTGCAAAGTCAATTATTTGATTTGGTTTGGCTTTTTATTGTCATTAGAATAAATGTTTTCAGAAACCATAGTAGAAGAGTGTTTTGTGCATATATTGTAGCTTATAACCTCCTATGATCAAAAGTAAGAATTCGTGCTGTTGCACTCCTGGATTTTAGGGGAAGAGGTTTAAAAAGGAGGGGGAGAGCAAGCAATTATTTCTGTTTAGAGCATTCCAGTCATGAAAGGTGACTGGAAAGATAGCCATTGGGTGAATATATTTTGTAAGTTGTTGATTTTGTGGATAAATAAGATGGACCATAAAAAATCAAAATCTACCTCTTTTCCAGTGACTCATGCTTCAAATTAATCATTTGATACAAAAACATCAGTGGCTTGCACCAAGACATTGAGTAAACCTTGCAAATAGTTATTTGCATGTTTAAGGTTAAGCATTTGCCTGAATGTTTGCAGGGCCTAGACTGCAATATGATCCGAGTACAAAGACCTCTGCATGGAGTTTTTGTGTAAAAGAATGATGTTTAGGGAAGGTTTCATTTGTGAGGGCGGATTAGATGAGGACTTCATGTTTTCATGTCATGGCTCAGTTACTCTGTAGAACACTGTTCTCTGCTTATGGGGTTTTGCTGATTTTTACCATCCAGACATCTTGACTGTACTCCAGAGAGAGCTGCAATTGCAGTTTAGTTTAACTGACAATTAACTAGGGCTGCATAAAAAAGAAGGGCAATAAACTGCATATAGCTTTGTGATATCTGAGCTGGTGTATAATACCAGATGTGATAATTCCCCATTAGATAACCATACCAAATCCACATTTTTCCTTCCATAGTAAACTATTCATATGCAAAATGCACTTGAAAAATATGGCTGTATTAAGGAGGATGGAACAGGCACAAATTGTTATTGATGATCATTATACTTCTCAAGTTTTTAAGAGCAATGACTAAGAGTATCTTGGTAGCTTTAAAACACTTCAGATGAGCAGAGGTATTTGCTGTACCAGTGAGGTAATGTTATACCTGTCTGCAGCTGTTTAGTGCTGCAAAATCCTCTTCCTTCTTCAGCAGCTCTGGGTAGTGAAGAGGCTGAATTCTCCATTCCTTTCTCCTATAGTTAATGTTTTAAAATGAGGATGGAGTATGCTTGATTGGTCCTTTGTATTTGGATATTGCAGGCTGTTAAACAATTTGCAGGAGAATACAGCCTAGGAAAGATGCTTTCAGAGGCTCAAGAGCTAGACAGAGAGTTGCTAATGGTCTTTATTATTTTCTTTGTTCTATAAGTATTTTTTTCAGTGAATCGGAAAAAATAGAACTTTTGTTGTTATCATACGCCATAGCTGTAGTGTTGCAAGGGACCCTCAAGTCATGGAGCAATTCTCTTATTTCCTAAAAGAAACACAAGTTTGTATCTTTGGTAGATGTATGTGACGTTTCATTGCTTGTGAAGGGTCCCAAACCCTTCTGGTCTAAGTGACTGTGAGCAGGACCGTAGGGTTCATGGGCACTGGCGTTTCATTAATTCTTGCAGTTTCATTATACAGTAATGATTTTTTTAACTGGTGTAAACTGTAAAGCTGTATGCATGTACAGTGTCGTATGTGAAAACTCTTCTCTTTGGGCTGTTAAATTCTGGGAGGTCTGAATCATCCAAACTCTTAAAAGTAATTTTTTCGCTTGGGGAAGGGCAGGGGCTGTTCCAGTGGTGAGAGAGATACCTTTTCTGTGAAAGCAAAAAGGGAGAATGAAAGTAAATGTTGGAGAACAGTGGTCGGGAATATTTGCACAAGGGGTACAAAGAGAAGGCAGTGCAGTGAGACATTAAATGAGCCATTCTCTGGTTAACACCATTTGATGTGGTATTTCTTATGTCTGCCTTTTAAACTGCTGAATGAATCTAAAGCTATACAGCTGATAGTTTGTATGTGTTTTAAGAACTGTCCTTCAGGAGTGTTCTCTGATTAGTGGATGGTAGGGAAGAAGATGGTTTGTTTCCTTTACAAAAGCTGTTGAAGTTCTTCAGAATAAAGTTCCACTCTAGAAAAATTGTCTTTAGCAAAAGGAACCACAGAAAAGTCACTTTGGGGCTGCATAGATAGAGATACTAAAAACATGGGAATAGGAACAAGCTAACTAAATTAAATTGGTATCAGTCAGGTCTTTGCTAGCCTGATGTTGAGTATAAGCATTAATCACACAAATTACATCCAAGCGTCATTCTGCACCAGAGAAGCATCATAAGAAAGATCACCTTTCAACTGGCCTGTTGTTGTGTGCATCTTTAAAGTAGTATGTCTCCCACAGTGATGGCTTAACTCTTGTGCAGTGTGGATTCAGTACAAGATAGAGAAAGGAGCAGGAGTATTTCTCCATCTGCAGAATATTTACTAATTAAGCTTTAGCAAGGGCACACCTGAGTGTGCAAATGAAGATTGAGCTGTTGTAAGACTTCCATTTGACTGCAGAGCTTTACTGTTGTAAAAAGTGCGTAACAGTGACGGAACCCAGTTCATCTGAGCTGAATTGAAAGATTTGACTTCCTTTTCAGTTCAAACTAAGCAAACCTGACTTAGAAATTGGAGGGCTGATGAATGCACAAAGCCCCCTAACTATTAAAAACTGGATTTTATAGGGTTTTTTATTCACTTTTAAAATTATTTCTTTCTGCGTAGAATCTGCTGGCAACTTCAGTGTTTCTGACTGAGCAGGGTAGATAAGTACATCTTGAAATGTTGTCAAGGAAAAAGATACATCTTGTTTTAGCTTTGTCTGCCACTGTAACTGGTTATAAAGCTTTGCTCTCAGTTGATGTCAACATTTAGCCTAAGGGAGTGAGTCTTTCTGGGAAGAGGCTGGGTGCGTAAGGCCGAGGCTCAGCTCTGCTCTTTTGTTCACCTCCTTCAAGTCAGCACAGACTGCACGCATGCTAACTGTCCGTAGACTCACGCAGCCAGTGTGACAGAGCTTTTGGTGTCAGATACATGTTCACTTGTCTGCGTGGAGTGTCTCCTTGCCCTCATATTCAAGAGTAACTAACTACAGTGCTGAACCCTGAAGTTAAAGCTAGGATATCCATAGGGCATGGAGGCTAAGCCAAGCTGAGTTCCTATCTTCCCTCTAACTCTTTTTATTAAGCTTTCCAGCAAACAGCAAAAACAGTGATTTGAGTATTTTCTACGAAACCACACGAATTTACACACGGATATTTTAATCACTTAGCTGGTTTGGGTGGAGTTTGTTAGATGTGCAAACTGTCGGTCTCTTGTGAAGATTGCATTAATATGTAGTTGTATGCCCTAGCTGTGAGATGGGAAGCAAGCCCTAAGCGGGCTTTTGCTTTTCTGTATGATTTTTAAGTTCTGTGATTCATACATTTGCAAGCTTTGGCCTCTGATGGGTAGAGGCTTGCTGAGTGAGCTACAACTATGTGTTTTTGTGGAGTTCCACATCAATAGGTTTGCTCTGGGAGTAGTCTGTTCAGAACTGAAGAATGGACTCAGAAAGGGAGCTCTGAGGGGATGAGTCGTTCAGTATATGACTGAGCCTGTCCCCTCCAAATTGGTACATGTGATGGAATAGGATTTGATCCTCTGCTTTGAAGAGGAAAGGGTTCGCTCTCTGAAATAAATCCAAATGTATGTAAGTCACTGGAAATTTCGTGCGTTGAAGCTTAATTCCTACAGAATTATGAAATGTTTTTCTCACAGGACTTCTGTGCTGCCAGTGGATATCAGTAGCCAGCAATTCTTAATGACATAAACCCAGCAGCTGAATTAACAGTTTCATTTTGCATAATTCTGCCCTGCTTAAACCAGAAAGGCAATTATATTAATGTACCACTTCTGTAGGCACACACTATTCACTGTAAGCATGATTCTAGGTCAGTGTTCCCTCAGCTGCTGAAAACAGCTGATTAAATGACCAGTCTTCTGACTGAAGAGATGAACTTTAAAGTGAGCTGTCAAATACTAGCAGTGAGCATCAAATGTGACTGTGCAATATCTCATCTTTTAGCTCTCTGGTTTCTCAACAATTTATTTACAGCCCCATGTGAATTCTCCTTTCTGGGAATTCAATTAGAGTTGTCATTAAAATAATCTCCTTTGGTTCATCCTTCTCAGGCTCTTCTCTTCTGGGACTCTCATTTTATCCTTTTTCATTTTAGAATTTAGAGTTCCCAGCTCTTCTTTCCTGGCCCAGGCTCTAACACAGCTGTGGGCTGCCCCTGCTGTTTCTTAAAAGTGAATGCTCATCCT